AAAAAGTATAAGGAGCTTTGTATAATTCGGCATTTTAAAACACTTCTCAGGAATATAGTGTATACCTCTATCATTTTAGCTAATAACCTTTTCATTTGTACCTATTTGAAGATTTGAGGGTAATTTTCTGCCCTAGGTATGGACAAGCATGCTCTTGTATAAGTAGAATAATATACTGAAAATCCCGTGACTTCTGGAGGCCTAGCTCTGCCATTTTACTAGATGTGACTTTGGACAAGTTTCGTTCCTCTTAGGACTTTATTTTCCTCTTGTATAGAATGGGAATTAATTGTTGTCTGTCTTACAAGAATGATAGTGGGGTGTGTGTATATGTGTATATATATATATATATATAAACCTTATTCCTGCTCCCTCACCCCTACCCCAGCATGCCGGGAGCTAGAAGTTGAAATTCAAAATCGTCTTTTGTGAGTGACTTGTATACAGTCAACCTTTGTTAGATTGCATATGCTATTGTTTCACACAACCCTAAAATCTCATAGCTTTTTTGAAACAAAAGATTTATTTTAAACTTTCATTACAAGTTTTGGTTGTAGTCCTTGTTCCAGGCTACAGATTGGTTTCAGCTTTTTTCATCTGAAATTCAGGTTTAAGAACAACATCCCTCTGGGACATGCTGTTCTTTGTGAGAGGGGACAAAGATCAGAGAACTGGTGCAAAATATTCAGTACCTCTTAAGGTTGTGTTCAGATATGGTACACATCATGTATGCAGATCAAATCATATGGTCAAGCCTAATGTCACTGGGGTGGAGAAGTATTGGCTTGAGCCATATTAAATTGTTAATTTGTTTGGTTTTGTTTTCAGACAGAGCCTTGCTCTGTCGCCCAGGCTAGAGTGCAGTGGCACATTCTCAGTTCACTGCAGCCTCCGCCTCTCGGGTTATAAGTGAGTCTCCTGCCTCAGCCTCCGGAGTAGCTGGGATTACAGGTGTGTGCCATCACGCCCTAAAGTGTTAATTTGCATAGGTCAAAAACAGGTGAATATTGGCAGTTTCATGTAGTTCCTCTTGCATGAAAACATTGCAACTCACATGAAAATGAGTGGAGCTATATAGTCATCTTATGATTGGAGAAACACATAACTGGGAATAAACAAAAAAAAATTACCTCAGCAGGAGAACATCATTTCTAACCTTACATTTTTTGGAAAAAAGTACATTTTACATTCTAATAAACTCTACATATTTTATGGGATATATACTGAAACATGTTAATGTACACAGATTAATATATTTTACTGTTTTCAGTTAACAGTATTAAATTTGACTTATTAATATTTTCATTGTAGGTATATTGAAGCAAGTCAAAGATTACATTAAACAGTGTAGCAAATGCCAGGAGAAACTAGATCGATCCCGTCCAATATCAGATGTTTCAGAAATGTTGGAAGAATTGGGACTAGACCTTGAATCTGGAGAAGAAAGTAATGAATCAGAAGATGACCTGAGCAACTTTACTTCATCTCCAACTACAGCCTCCAAGCCTGTAAAAAAGAAGCCAGTATCCAAACATGAACTTGTGTTTGTAAGTGGTACTCTCCAGTCAGCTTTAAGATGTGTAACTAGTGTACTAGTATTTGCAGCCTTGGTGACTTATTTTTCTCGAACCACTAAGACTGCTTATTGAATAAGACAAAATGGCAATATACTGTGTTATATAAGCTGAACTGCCTCTTCATTTACCATAAATGTTCCTGTTATTTTTTCAGAATGAACTTACTAATAATTACCTGTTGGTTTGCTATTAATTATCCTCCCTCCCTTCTTTTGTGGTGATATATTGGTGCAAGTAGACAGATTTACATTTCTGGAAGCAGTCTCTGGGTTTATGCCCCAAGGTAAAATTAATCTGGCGAGGTCTTTGTTTTTCACCTGCATCAGTTTCATACATCATCACATTTCTGATCAGTAAGAAGAGGCAGCCAGAGGTGAGATACGGGTTTTCATTAGACCAGGTAGAATGAACATGGCAGAAAATAGAGAGAATAGGACAACATATCTTTTTATTTAAATACATAGGTAACAAAGAAAATGTCAAATTATTCATACCTGGTAAAAGGTAATATGTAATGTGTCTTGTTTTAAAGTTTCTTAAGGGTAGAAAATACAGGTAATATATTACTCCTGCTCTCAAACTTATTTTGACAGGTTGACACCAAAGGAGTGGTAAAACGTTCTTCTCCAAAACATTGTCAGGCTGTCTTAAAACAGCTGAACGAACAGAGACTTTCCAACCAGTTCTGTGATGTTACTTTGTTAATTGAAGGAGAAGAGTACAAAGCACATAAATCTGTTTTGTCAGCAAATAGCGAGTATTTTCGAGATCTTTTTATTGAGAAAGGAGCTGTTTCCAGTCATGAGGCTGTGGTGGATCTTTCTGGTAAGGGTTTTCTATTACTCTTGCTTTTTGCTTGTAATGACATTCTAGAAGAGGGGGTTATGTGTGTCTTCCACACAGACTTTATGTCAAAGTAAGAGAAGCCCACTTACAGCAGTAGACTAAGCTGAACTGAAAAGGTTCTTTTTAGCAAGATTTCTGTGGTAGAGTTATGGAAAAGGGTGTCATTTCCTTTCACTACCTCTTAAGCGAGACAGTTATAGCAGAAGAAGAATTTCTGGGATTTAAACTGTTAAAAACAGTTTGAGCTAAATCCATAAGTGCAACAAAATTATTACATTAAATGAATATGTTATTTAAAAATTGATTGTTTAAGCTAGGTGTGGTGGTGCACGCCTGTAGTCTCACCTACTTGGGAGGCTGGGATGTGAGGCTCGCTTAAGGTCAGAAGTTCCAGACTAGTGTGTCATTGTACGTGTGAATAGCCACTGCTCTGCAGACTGGGCAGTATAACAAGACCCTGCCTCTAAAAATAAAAAGTAAATAAAAATTGACTGTTTATGTCTTATTTTGTGGGACATGTAATCGTAGAGTATTTTATAAGTCTTTTGGTTTTTAAAGATTAATTATTAGAGTTTAAGTTCAATAATCAAATTATCAATATAGAAAAGTCAAAATTCCAGGTTTTTTGTTTGTATCATATTATTGTTGTAAATAAATAGTTTGACTTTTGGCTTCACTAGAATTTATATATTGGCTTATGAGTCAACAAATGAAATTTAGGAAGAATTAAAATAGGTAGCATTATTTATACATTTTCTCATAATATAAAACTTGCTGTAACTTTTGAATTACGTACATCACTTTGAAGTATTTTTTCCTTTTTGAAACAAAAAAGTGACTTTATTCAGGTAAATTCTTAATTATTTAACCACTGATCCTTTTATGCTTTATTCTTTTTAGTCTTATCTCTTCTGGGAAGATACATTTTTTCTTAGCAGTGGCTTTATATTTAGAGAAAGCAATAATAACGGCCAGACACGGTGGCTCATGCCTATAATCCCAGCACTTTGGGAGACTGAGGCAGGCAGATCATCTGAGGTCATGGGTTTGAGACCAGCCTGACCAACATGGAGAAACCCCATCTCTACTAAAAATACAAAATTAGTTGGGCATGGTGGCACATGTCTGTAATCCCAGCTACTCGGGAGGCTGAGGCAGGAGAATTGCTTGAACCCGGGAGGTGGAGGTTGCAGTGAGCTGAGATCACGCCATTGCACTCCAGCCTGGGCGACAAGAGCAAAACTCCATCCCCCTCAAAAAAAAAGAAAGCACTAACAATTTTCTCTATATAAATAAATATTTATTAAGCATCCACTGCATGCAAAGAACTAGCCTAGGCTCAGGGGATGTACATATGAACAAAAACTTTTTGTAGCTTATAGTTGGCATTACTTTCTAGATTTGTGGTATTTGTTTTTTTTTCTGTGTTTGGTGACTCAAAGGAGAAAATACGTCTTACACTGAGCCATCTGAATATAAAAACCCATCACAGGTTATTCTTTTGATATGTTTGCTTTGGAATTTTTTCCCTATAGTTCATGCATCTGAAAGCATAGTGTTGCTCTTTTCTGGTTTCTCAGCAATTTATAGCAAATGAAATGTCTGCCTGAAAAAAACTACAGCACAGCATCCTAATCCAACATAATACATCATTTAATCTTCATTCCGTATGCATATTTTTATATATTGTTCAGCAAATATGTGAGCCAATCATAGGTGAAATAGACATTATTTTACAAATATGTTTGATTTAAATATTAAGTAGATAAGGCCTGGGCATAGTGGCTCACGCAGGTAATCCCAACGCTTTTCAAAGCTGAGGCAGGTGGATTGCTTGAGCTCAGAAGTTCGAGACCATCCTGGGCAACATGGTGAAACCCTGTGACTACCAAAATTTACAAAAATTAGCCAGGCATGGTGTCACATGCCTGTAGTCCCCGATACTTTGGAGGCTGAGGTAGGAGGATCACTTGACCCCAGAAAGCAGAGGTTGCAGTGAGCCGAGACTGCTCCACTGCACTCCAGCCTGGGCAACAGATTGCAAGACCCTGTCTGAACAGCAAAATGTTTTTATCTTAAGTGGGTCATTTACAGTATCTTAGTCTGCCATACCCCTGGATGTTGAAGTCCCCCCCATAATTTTTCCTTCTGCTATAATTGTCCATTTCATTTGAGAGAGAGGAGATTTTTTAGTAAAGTTTTTAAATTGTAAAAAAAAAAAACAAAATTTACCCTTTTCATGATTTTTCCTTTTTATTTATTTTTAGATAGTGCCTGAAACAGAATAGGTTCAGAGAGGCTCCCTCCTTTTATTGTTAGTTGACATGTAATAATTGTACATATTTTTGGTGTGCAAAATGATATTTTGGTACATGTATACAATTAGTAATGATCAAATGAGGGTAATTAGGATATACCTATCACCTCAAACATTTAGCTTTCTTTGTTGAAAACATTCAAAATTCTTTCATCTTTTTTTTTTTTTTTTAGACAGAGTCTCATTCTGTCACCCTAGGCTAGAGTGCAGTGGTACAGTCATGGGCTCAAGCAATTCTTGGGCTCAAGCAATTTTCTTGCTTCAGCCTCCGGTGTAGGTGGGGCCACAGGTGCACACCACCTTGTCCAACTAATTTTTCGATTTGTTTGTTTATAGAGATGGAGTCTCACTTTGTTGCCCAGGCTGGCCTTGAACTCCTGGACTCCTCCTGCCTCAGACTCTCAAAGCACTGAGATTACGGGGGGTGAGCCACCATGCCAGGCTTCTTGTGCCTTTTTTAACATATACCATAAACTGTTGTTAACTATATACCCTGCAGTGCTATAGAACACTAGAAGATGTTCCTCCTGTCTATCTAGCTGTAATTTTGTATCTATTAACCAACCTCTTCCTACACTCCCCTCCTTTCTCCCTGCCTATCTTCTAATAACCATAACTCTTCTCTCTACTTGTATAATCTAAGGATTTTCTGTAGCTCCCCCATGTGAGTGAGGACATTTGGTATTTATCTTTCTGTCCTTGACTTATTTTACTTAGCATAATGTCCTCCAGGTTTATCATGTTGCTGCAAATGACAGAATTTCATTCTTTTTTATGGCTGAATAGTATTCCATTGTGTATGTTTACCACATTTTTTTCCATTCATCTGTTGATGAACATGTAGGTTGATTTCATTTCTTGGCCATTGTGAGTAGTGCTGCAATAAACATGGGGTGCAAGTATCTCTTTGATATAATTTCTATTCTTTGGGTAGGTACCCAGTAGTGGGATTGCTGGATCATATGATAGTTATATTTTTAGTTTTTTGAGGCACTTCCATACTGTTTTTCATCCTGGTGTACTAATTTACATGTTTACCAACAATGTATAAGAGTTCCATAATGATTATTATTATTATTACTATTATTAATTTTTTTTTTTTTGAGATGGCATTTCACTCTTGTTGCCCAGGCTGGAGTGCAATGGTGCAGTCTCGGCTTACTGCATCCTCCGCCTCCTGGGTTCAAGCAATTCTCCTGCCTTAGCCTCCCAAGTAGCTGGAATTACAGGTACCCGCCACCACGCCCAGCTAATTTTTGTATTTTTAGTAGAGATGAGATTTCACCATGGGCCAGGCTGGTCTTGAACTCCTGATCCCAGGTGGTCCACCCACCTCAGCCTCACAATGTGCTGGGATTACAGGCGTGAGCCACCACGCCCGGCTGTTACTATTTTTTGAGACAGTCTTGCTCTGTCGCCCAGGTTGGAGTGCAGTGGCACCATCTCGGTTCACTGCAACCTCCATCCACCTTCTGGGTTCAAGTAATTCTCCTGCCTTAGCCTCCTGAGTAGCTGGGATTACAGGTGTACACCACAATGCCCGACTAATTTTTGTAATTTTAGTAGAGACGGAGTTTTGCCGTGTTGCCAAGGCTGGTCTCGAACTCCTGGCCGCAAGCAGTCTGCCCGCCTCAGCCTCCCAAAGTGTTGGGATTACAGGCGTGAGCCACTGCACCCGGCCATAATGATTTTTTTAACTGTACACTTCAATAGTATTAACTGTATTCACATTGTCCTATAATAGATCTCGACAATCTTTTTATTTTGCAAAATTGTCCATTTCATTTGATTTAAATGTTCTGCAGGGAATGTGTATGTAAAAAGATTGGAGGTGGCCAGGCACAGTGGCTCACGCCTGTAATCCCAGCACTTTGGGAGGCCGAGGCAGGTGGATTACGAGGTCAAGAGATCGAGACCATCCTAGCCAACATGGTGAAGCCCCATCTCTACTAAAAATACAAAAAATTAGCCAGGCGTGGTGGTGGGCGCCTGTAGTGCCAGCTACTCGGGAGGCTGGGGGAGGAGAATCCCTTGATCCCAGGAGGCGGAGGTTGCAGCGAGCTGAGGTTACACCACTGCACTCCAGCCTGGTGACAGAGTAAGACTCTGTCTCAAAAAAAAAAAAAAAAAAAAAAAGATTGGAGGTAAACATGGAGTACCAAAATTACTTGCCTGTTCTCTTTTGATGGTAGGATTGTGAGTGATTTTTTTTTTTTTGAGACAGCATCTTGCTCTCACCCAGGCTGGAGTGCAGTGGCATAATATCAGCTTACTGCAGCCTTGACCTCCTGGGCTCAAGCGATTCTCCCACTTCAGCCTCCCAAGTAACTGGAACTGCAGGTGCGCATCACCATGCCTGGCTAATTTCTTTTGTAATTTTTGTAGAGACAGGGTTTCACCATGTTGCCCAAGCTGCTTTTGAACTCCTGATCTCAGGCAATGTCCCTGCTTGCCCTCCCAAAGCTCTGGGACTGCAGGTGTGAGTCATTGCACCTAGCCTGTAAGTGATTTTTTTGTTTTGTTTTAGTTTATTTTTCTTTTATGGTATTTAAAATAAACCTATGACCAGTATCTTTGTAAAAATGGTATTAGCTATTTAAAATGCTGTTTGGAGCAATGCAAATGTTTTCATGGAAAATTTTTCATATGAATTTGAACTTAGAAATTTAAAGGGTAGGCCAGGCACGGTGGCTCATGCCTGTAATCCCAGCACTTTGGGAGGCCAAGGTGGTTGGATCGCTTGAGGCCAGGAGTTTGAGACCAGACTGCCCAACATGGCAAGACCATGTCTCTACTGAAAATTCAAAAGTTAGCTGGGCATAGTGGCACACACCTGTAATCCTAGCTACTCGGGAGGCTGAGGCACGAGAATTGCTTGAACCCAGGAGGTGGATGTTGTAGTGAGCTGAGATCTCACCACTGCACTACAGCCTGGGCGACAGAGCAGGACTCTGTCTCAAGAAAAAAAGAAATTTAAAGGGTATTGGGTACATTATTTTGTTAGTATGTGATTTTTTTAAAGGAATTTAATGATTTACCTTAAACTTGGTCTCATAATTTATAGCAGCATTAATGTGGTTTCGGCCTATTTAAGAATTAGCTTCCCGGCCGGGCGCAGTGGCTCACGCCTGTAATCGCAGCACTTTGGGAGGCTGAGGTGGGTGGATCACCTGAAGTCAGGAGTTCGAGACTAGCCTGACCAACATGGAGAACTCCCATCTCTACTAAAAATACAAAATTAGCTGGGTGTGGTGGCGGGCGCCTATAATTCCAGCCGCTCGAGAGGCAGAGGCAGGAGAACTGCATGAACCTGGGCGGCGGAGGTTGCAGTGAGCCAAGATTGTGCCATTGCACTCCAGCCTGGGCATCAAGAGCGAAACTCCATCTCAAAAAGAAAAGAATTAACTTTCCCAGAAATGGCTGAATTCACCATAATGATAATGTTGATGTGAAGTCCCCTCAGTTTTCAGTCTGAGTCCTGACATCTCACATTTTAAGGCTTCTCTCTGTATGCTTGTTCATCCTTCGTAGGTTCTTTTGCATAAAGTACCACACTTTACATACCTTGAGTCAGAACTGAAAATTACAGCAAAAATGGCTCTCAATTGTATATTTAAAAATCTCTAAGATAAATTATTGTATGAGAAAAGCAAAGTGCAGAAAAATATGTGTAATATGACACCTAGTGTGAGACGGCAGAATTAGAATATTTGCCTCCGTCTGGGTATGGTGGCTCACATCTGTAATCCAAGGACTTTGAGATGCCGAGGCAGGAGTAGCCCTTCAGGGCGGGAGGTAAAGATCAGCCAAGACAACATGGGGAGACCTCCATCTCTACAAAATATGAAAATAACCAGGTGCACGCCTGCCCTGCTACTCAGGTGGCTGAAGCAGGAGGACTGCTTGAGCCTGGGAGGTCCAGGTTACAGTGAGCCATGATGAATCCACTGCACTTCAACCTGACAGAGCAAGGGCCTGTCTCAAAGTACCTAAATGAAAAAGTAAGGGGAGGTGCGGTGGCTCACACCTGTAATCCCAGCACTTTTGGGAGGCCGAGGCAGGTGGATCACAAGGTCAGGAGATCAAGATCATCTGGCTAATATGGTGAAACCCCGTCTCTACTAAAAATACAAAAATTAGCTGGCCATGGTGGCTTGTGCCTGTAGTCCCAGCTACTCAGGAGGCTTAGACAGGAGAATTGCTTGAACCTGGGAGTCGGGAGGTTGCAGTGAGCCAAGATTTCGCCACCGTACTCCAGCCTGGCCACAGAGCAAGACTCCGTCTCAAAAAATAAGTAAATACATAAATACATAAATACATAGAAATATTGACTTGGCTGTATAACGAAATTCTGGAGAGCTATACAAATTCTTAATCATTCTGGTTTTGGACATAGAATTATCACTGTGTAATCTTTTTTCTGATTTTTGATTCATGTGAATATTAAGAATTAAAAATGGCTTTGAAAGTGAATCACTGAGAATTTTAGAAAAGAAACTGACTTTGTTTTCCCACAGAAGAATGTAATACCTCACGTATAATTTCTTAGACCTGATATAGGCAAACTACAGCCCAAGGACCACTCTTCCCTTCCTTCCCTTTTTGTAAAGAAGGTTGTATTGGAACACAGCCACGTCCATTGGTGTACATCTGCTTTCCAGCTACAGTGGCAAAGCTGAGCAGTTTTAGCAGACATCTCATGGCCTGCAATATTTATTATCTTACTCTTAACAGAAAAATGTTGCTGACCTCTCCCTTAGGTATTGTTTTTTTACTTTTAGTCATAGAATATTTTGTTCAATAACATTTTTATATGGACCACTATTACTTGGAAGTACAGATATATTTACTGAAGTGAGATTAGGGGACAGGTTGGTTGAACCCTGCCACTCACCTGCCTTCCTCTTTTTTTTAACCCTCCATCCTCCAGCAGCTGTTTCTTGAGGGGAATTTGAGGAATCCCCAGGGTTCTAAGGAGTACGGTTTGAAAATCACTGCCTTACAGCAACTCTTGAGGTAGTAAGTCTGATACTATTTTCTGTATTAGGTACTGAGACGCAGCTCATACAAATGAGTTAGTCCAGGTTTAATAAGAAACCAGAACAAAATGCAAATCCAGGGATGATTAGTTACAGAACAAGTGGTCATATTTGCCTTTGAATTATATTTTATGTTGTCATAATTCTGTATTGTTTCATTGGTAATTGACTTTTTTGTCTTTACCTTCTTTGAATTCATACAGGTTTTTGTAAGGCCAGCTTCCTTCCTTTACTGGAATTTGCCTATACTTCTGTACTAAGTTTTGACTTCTGTAGCATGGCTGATGTAGCCATCTTAGCTCGTCATCTTTTCATGTCAGAAGTCTTAGAGATTTGTGAAAGTGTACATAAGTTAATGGAAGAGAAGCAGCTAACAGTATATAAGAAGGGTGAAGTACAAACAGTTGCATCCACCCAGGACTTACCAGTACAGAATGGGGGTACAGCACCTCCTGTGGCTAGCAATGAGGGAACAACAACTTTATCTACTGAACTTGGAGATTGTGAAATTGTACTGCTGGTAAATGGAGAATTGCCAGAAGCTGAGCAGAATGGAGAGTTAGGACGACAGCCTGAGCCCCAGGTTTCTTCAGAGGCTGAAGCTGCCCTGTCATCTGTAGGATGTATAGCTGATTCCCATCCTGCAATGAAGTCTGTTGATTTAATAACAAAAAACAACCAGACAAAACTGGAAACTTCAAACAACAGAGACAATAACACAGTTTCTAATATATACCCAAAACTTTCAAAAGAGAATGTAATTAGTAGTTCACCAGAGGTTAGTGGTATGGGAAATGATGTATCAGCTGAGGATATCTGTGCCGAAGACATTCCAAAACGTAGGCAGAATGTTGACCAACCTTTAAAAGATCAGGAAAATCTAGTTGCATCAACAGCAAAGACAGACTTTGGCCCTGATGATGATACTTACAGAAGCAGGCTTCGACAACGTTCTGTTAATGAAGGGGCATATATTCGACTACACAAGGGAATGGAGAAAAAGCTGCAGAAACGGAAAGCCATTCCCAAGTCAGCAGTTCAACAGGTATGATGTAAGAAGGGTTGGCCTTTGTAGTTTTAGCTTTAGGTTGAAAGCATTGTATTGATGAACTTACGGCTATAGTGAAAATTGTTTGGGAGGTGAGACAGGTACAAGGTAGCAACTTAATGTTTTAAATGCCAGTATTAATAAGATAATGTGAATTTGAAATCTTTTTGTTAGAAATTTACAACATGACTTTCAAAGTTAAAATGGAGTAGATTTACTTAGATTGTGATTTCTATCCCTTATTAGGTGGCTCAGAAGTTAGTTCAAAGAGGAAAGAAGATGAAACAGCCAAAAAGAGATGCTAAAGAGAACCCTGAAGAGGCATCTCATAAATGTGGGGAATGTGGAATGGTTTTTCAGAGACGATACGCCCTTATAATGCACAAACTGAAACATGAAAGAGCTAGAGATTACAAATGTCCGGTGAGTATTTGGAAAGCTAATTGAAGATAACTCTAATTCATAATATATAGAATCCAGCTTACTGCTTGGTTATCTTTTCACTTGTATTCTATGTCTTTTATGACTATAAGAGTCATCTTTTGATTTAAATATGCATGTCATTTACTTGCCTCCCCAAAATATTCAGTGACTTATCTCTGCTTCCTCCCGATACCATAGTAAAATAACAGTAAAAAGATCATTTTAAAAATGTAACTCATAAAAAGGCAGAGAGAACAGGAAATCTTGAAACAACTAAATTCTGGATACAAATAAATAGATGGAGTAACTTATTCAGCAGATTTGAAAGGGTTCACTTCCAGGTTTTCAGTGGGGAATGCTAAGAATCAACCCAAATTGAATTGTAGAACCACCAAAATGTCTCAGGAATTAGTAGTGCTAGCTACCTTGAAAGTAGAGCAATTAAATCACTACCCCTGTCCCCTTAGCCAAAGATCCATCTTCTCCCTGGAAAGGATAAAACCGTAACTCCACTGGGGAGTACTATAATTAGTGAAGCTAAGCGTACGGTACTCAAAACAGGGAAGAGTAAAAGCATACTGAATGTTAAGTTGTTTTTTTTTGGAAACGGAGTCTTGTTCTGTCAACCAGGCTAGAGTGCAGTGGCGCAATCTTGGCTCACTGCATCCTCCACCTCCCAGGTTCAGGCGATTCTCCTGCCTCAGCCTCCTGAGTAGCTGGGACTACAGGCATGAGCCACCAGGCCTGGCTAATTTTTTTGTGTTTTTAGTAGAGACAGGGTTTCACCATGTTGGCCAGGCCATTCTCAGACTCCTGAGCTCAAACGATCCACCTGCCTCAGCCTCCCCAAGGTATGGGATGCCAGGCGTGAGCTACCGCACCTGGCCCAAGTTCTTTCTTTTCTCAAGTCCCAAGGTATAGGCATCTACACCCTTAACCATAAAGCAAAAAGATTTCTCAGAGATGAAAAGTCTGAAGCCCAATAACAAAAGACAGCTACTGACTAAAGCTCATGGTTGACAACAGTCCCCTCCCCATTTACATGGAAATTCCAGTGAATTTTTTAATGTCTTATTCTGAAATATGAACAGATATTAGGGATTATTGACTCATGACAAAAGATTTCAAGAAAAACAACTTTGGCTGGACGCAGTGGCTTGTACCTATAATTCTAACATTTTGGGAGGCCAAGGCAGATTGCTCGAGCTCAAGATTTCAGGACCAGCCTGGGCAACATGGTGAAACCCCATCTCTACAAAAATTAACTGGGCATGGTGGCACACACCTGTAGTCCCAGCTACTTGTGAGGGGCTGAGGCAGGAGGATAGCTTGAACCCAGGAGGTCAAGGCTACAGGAAGCCAAGATTGCCCCACAAAGTGAGACCCTGTCTCCAAAAAAAAAAAAAAAACAAACCCAAAAAAAGGCAACTTTGAGGTATCTAAGACTAGCGAGAAAAGAAAACTAAAAAGAAAAAAACTTCAGAACGTATAATTTATATAAGAGATAAATGAAAAAATTAAGTTTACAAAACAGCCAGGTACTATGGTTTTTTTGTTTGTTTGTTTTTGTTTTTCTTGAGACAGAGTTTTGTTCTTGTTGCCCAGGTTGGAGTGCAATGGCACGATCTCTGCTTCCCAGATTGAAACAATTCTCCTGCCTCAGCCTCCTAAGTAGCCGGTATTACACTCATACACCACCATACCCGGCTAATTTTGTATTTTTAGTAGAGATGGAGTGTCTCCATGTTGGTCAGGCTGGTCTCAAACTCTTGACCTCAGGTGATCTGCCTGCCTCAGCCTTCCAAAGTGCTGGGATTACAGGCATGAGCCTCTGCGCCCAGCGGTACTATGTTTTTAAAAGGACACATTGAGGCTGAGCGTGGTGGCCTATACCTGTAATCCGAACACTTTGGGAGGCAGAGATGGGAGAATCACTTGAGCCCAGGAGTTCAAGACCAGGCTATATAGCGAGACCCTATCTTTACAAAAAAAAATTTTTTTAAATAAAAGGTCATATTGGCTGGTCCAAAGTTAGTGAGTTATCTCGATTGTTCACAGTTACAGATCAAACTGCTTGTTCTACTCTACCCGCTTCTCACTTCTGCACTTGACTAGTGTTAAAAAAAAAAAAAAAGCCTAAAAAAATTATTAATATGAATGGTACATTAAAATAACTAAAGAGTTTTTTAGGAATAAAATATATAGCATATAAAAAAACTCACAAAAGTTGGAAAATATAACTGATGAAATCTCCCAGAAAATAGAGCAAAAAGACAAGTTAGAAATTGGGAGTGAAAGAAAATAATATTATTGGTCTAAGATATTCAGTATACAAGTATTACTTTCAAACAAAACATGGAAAAAAAAATAAAGAAAAATTTCAGAACTTAAGGATAGAAGTTTCTGTGTTAAAGGAGTACACTGAATGCCCAGAACAGTGAATTAAAATCAAACTGTATTAAAGTACATTATAAAATTTCAGAATCAGTGGACAAAAATAAAATAAGTTGCCAGAGGGAAAACAATAACATTGTCAATCTCATAAAAAGGATAAGGATCAGAATGGCTTTAGGTTTTTCAACAACAGCAACAGAAACTAGAAGACAAAGCCACCATGTGTTTAAAATCTAAAGAGAAATGATTTCTGACTTGAATTCTTATAGCCAATCAGTCAAACTTTTAGTTATTTATGATGGTAGAGTAAGAATATTTTCAGACATGCCAGGTCTCAAAATTATTACCTCCCAAATTTTCTCAGGAAGCTGTTGACAGACAGTTTCACTAAAATGAGCAAGACATGTTAAATGGAAAACACGGCATCCAGTTCAACAGAGTCCAAGGGATTCATCAAGACAATAGTGAAGGGAGATCCCAGGATGAAGCTATGTATCAGGTATAGGGAACAATTAGCCCAGGACATAATTTTTTTTTTTTTTTGAGGTAGGGTCTTGCTCTGTAGCCCAGTCTGGAGTGCAATGGCACTATCACAGCTCACTGCAACCTCCACAGCCCGGGCTCAAACGATCCTCCTGTCTTAGCCTCCCAAATAGCTGGGACCACAGGCATGCACCACCATTCTTGGCTTTTTGTATTTTTTTTGTAGAGACAGGGTTTTACGATGTTGCCTAGGCTGGTCTTAAACTCCTGGACCCAAGTGATCCACCCTCTTTAGCCTCCCAAATGCTGGGGTTACAGGCGTAAGCCACCACACCCAGACGAGGACATAATGATTTGACAGAGATTTCCAAAAAGGTGATGGGTTTTAAATCTCCTCCCAGTGCCGTTGGGGGCAGGGTTTGGCAAATTAGTAAGTGCAAAGAGAAATAAAACAAAAAGCAAGAAAGGAAAAAGAATTACAGTGTACTGTATGTGGCCCAGTGGTAATAATATTTACATCCTAAAAATGTAAGCCTTGAAATTGGTCTACTCAAGAATATGATATAGGTATATTGATGAAGAGGGGTAATGGAAATCATTTATATATCTAAGTAGGGAGTAGAGGAGTAAAAATGCAAATCAACTTCCGTTATGTGTGTTACATAGAGTTACAAAGAGAAGCATCGAGAGAGTCATACAAACACAGCTGCACTTAAAAACAAAGTCAGAGATAACTCGAGAAGCAAAATATGGTGGAGATGGTTGGCCAGGAGACCAGTTTTACTTACTGTTTTAAAAAATAGATTTTGCACAGGTTAAGCATATATAACTTTGATTTTAAAAAGAATAAAATTTTCTTGAATCTTCAACTATGAGATAAAATCCAAGGGCCATCAATCACAGCCTTACCTTTCTATTTCCAGCCCCTACTTCTGTTCCACCTGACAACTATTAGTACTCATGCTAATGATAATATTCTTCTGTCTTTGTTTTACCACTCCTGAAAGACCCATTTCAAGCCCAACCTTGTTGATACAAATCTTGTGCTGTCATTAGACTTTAGCCTCTCCTGAATAGGAATTGAGTCTTATCCCTTTTATCTTTACAATCTAGTACCTATTGTTTTTTACATAGTATATGTGTTTATTGATTTATATAATTGTAACAAAAAGTTCAAATATGAGTTAAGCTTCAGTTAACATTTTGTAATGGAAATACATTTAGAGAGAATTTTATTTTTCTTTTAGTTGTGTAAAAAACAGTTTCAGTACAGTGCCTCTTTGCGAGCACATCTTATTCGTCATACTAGAAAAGATGCACCCTCTTCATCCTCGTCCAATTCTGCATCTAATGAAGCATCGGGAACATCATCTGAGAAGGGCAGAACCAAGCGGGAATTTATATGTTCCATATGTGGAAGAACATTACCTAAGTTATATTCTCTCCGAATACATATGTTAAAGCACACAGGTGTAAAGCCACATGCATGCCAGGTAAAGCTATAACGTTTATTTTGCTATTTAAAAAACATTAGAACTTAACTATGGGTGCCAAAGAGACTGGTGGGATATGTATTCTCAAGTCACTCTCATTTTTGTAAAATGTCAGGGAAATTTATGACTTGTTTATTGCCTAGACCAAAGGTGATTCCCTATTGTGTTTTTTAATTTGCTCTCTGAAGTTGTAATTTGAATCTGTTTAAGATGTTTGTGAAAACTTAACTAGGGTCCAGAAGATGTATAGGGTGAAAAATAACCAATTTATCACCCCCATCATTCCTTAACCTTCAACTGGACCAACCCAGACTGGGAAGGAACCCATGGCTTAAACAAATCTCTGTGGTCCGTAAAAGTCCTGCCTAAGCTGTGTTCCTCTCTAGAGCTAAGGATTGAGAGTACCTAAATGCCAAAATACTACTCAAGGGCAATGAATCCTGTGATTAGCCAGCTTTGGGCTGTTTGGAACAGTGAAAAATTTCTAGTCGCACTAGAAATTTGTAGCCTTATATATGAGTATGATTCAGTTTGGGGTTTTTTGTCTCTTTTGAGACGAGGTCTTGTTCTGTCTCTCAGGCTGGAATGTAGTGGCGTGATCACGGCTCACTGCAGCCTCCCTCTCTCAGAGGCTTATACCATCCTCCCACCTTAGCCTCCCAAGTAGGTGGGACTACAGGTGTGCACCACCGTGCGTGGCTGATTTTTTAATATTTTGTGGAGATGAGGCCTAACTATGTTGCCCAGGCTGGCCTCAAACTCGTGGGCTCAAGTAGTCTTCATACCTCAGGCTCGCAAAGTACTGGAATTATAGGCGTGAGCACTATGCCAGGCCTGACTCAGTATTTTTATTAAAAAACAGTTTGGAACCAATGGGATTTTTTTCTTTTTTCTTTCTGTATTTTAATAGTTTTTGGGGAACAGGTGGTGTTTGTTTACTTGGATAAGTTTTTTAGTGGTGTTTTCTGAAACTTTGGTGTACCCATTACTTGAACAGTATACACTATACCTAGGGTGTAGTCTTCTATGCCTCACCCCCAACTCACCCTTTCCCCCAAGTCCCCAAAGTCCATTGTATCATTCATAGCTTAGCTCCCAACTATGAGTGAGAACATAACGATGTTTGGTTTTCCATTCCTGAGTTACTTCATTTGTAGTGGTGGTCTCCAATCATTTGAACCTGGGAGGTGGTGGTTGCAGTGAGCCGAGGTGGTGCCACTGCACTCCAGCCTGGACAACAAGAGCAAAATTCCATCTCAAAAAAAATAAATTAATTGGCCAGGTGCAGTGGCTCATGCCTGTAATCCCAGCACTTTAGGAGACCGAGGCAGGCGGATCACAAGGTCAGGAGATCGAGACCATCCTGGCCAACATGGTGAAACCCAGTCTCTACTAAAAATACAAAAAATTAGCCAGGCATGATGGAACACACCGGTAATCCCAGCTACTCGGGAGGCTGAGGCAGGAGAATCGCTGGAACCCAGAAGGCAGAGTTTGCGGTGAGCCAAGATCGCACTACTACACTCTAGCCTGGGCGACAGAATGAGACTCCATCTCAAAAAAAACTTAATTTTTAAAAGAGTAGTGGTCTCCAATTCCATCCAGGTTGCTGCAAATGCCATTATTTTGTTCATTTTTATGAATGAGTGGTATTCCATGGTGTATATATATACACATTTTCTTTATCTGCTCATTGATTTACGGGCATTTATGCTGGTTTCATATTTTTGCAACTGTGAATTGTGCTGTTGTAAACATGCATGTGCAAGTATCTTTTTCAATGAGATTTTTTAAAGACAGGGTCTTCCTTGTTTTATTACCCAGGCTGGAGTACAGTGGCATTATCTTAACTCACAGTAAACTCGAACTCCTGGTTTCAAGCAATCCTCCTGCATCAGCCACCCACGTAGCTAGGACTTCAGGTGCATGCCACCACACCCACCTAATTTTTTTTTTTTTTTAATGTTTATAGAGACAGGGGTCTTGCTATATTGCCCAGGCTGCTCTTGAACTCCTGGTCTCAGGCTGTTCTCCCATCTGGGCCTCCCAAAGTGCTGGGATTATAGGCATAAGTCACTGTGCCTGGCCTCCAGTGAGACTTTTTTTATATTTCTCTCTTTTATACCTTTTTATTATTTTAGAAGAGAATGGGCTGAACCCACATGTACCCTTCACCCAACCTCAGTAGTTACCAGCTCATGGTACATGTGTTTTATGTATACTATTATTCACTACGCTACTCCCACCCCCAACCCCACTCCACCAGGTTTGGTTTGGTTTGGTTTGTTTTGGAGGTAGGGTCTCACTCTGTCACCCAGGCTAGAGTGCAGTGGTGCGATCTTGGCTCACTGCAACCTTCACCTCCCGGGTTCAAGCAATTCTCCTGCCTCAGCCTCCTGAGTAGCTGGAACTACACACGCACGCCACCACGCCCAGCTAATTTTTTGTATTTTAGTAAAGATGGGGTTTCACCATGTTGCCCAGGTTGGTCTTGAACTCCTGAGCTCAGGCAATCCAACCACCTCAGCCTCCCAAAGTGTTGGGGTTACAGGCATGAGTCACCGTGCCCGGCTCCACCAGTTATTTTGAAGCCAAGTCCTAAGGATTACTTTATTTGTAAATTTATGGGTTGTTTTTTGTTTTTTGTTTTTTTTTTTTTTGAGAAAGATTCTTGCTCTGTCACCAAGGCTAGAGTGCAGTAGCACGATCTTGGCTCACTGCAACCTCCACCTCCTGGGTTCAAGTGATTCTCCTACCTCAGCCTCCCAAGTAGTTGGGATTACAGACGCCTGCCACCACACCTGGCTAATTTTTGTTTTTTTGTTTTTTTTAGTAGAGACAGGGTTTCACCATGTTGTCCAGGCTGGTCACGAACTCCTGACTTCAAATGATCTGCCTGTCTCGGCCTCCCAAAGTGCTGGGATTACAGGCGTGAACCACCACACCCAGCCATAAATTTAAATACCAAGTATGAGTTGGGCCTCTTGTCTTCCCATGTGGCACTACTCAGAATGTGTGGTCTGTGGACGATAAGTAGAGAAATAGAGAGTAAGCATGTAGAAACTGTCATAGCAATTTGGCATTGTCACATCATTTTTAACAAAAATTTTTGTGCTTAAAAAAAATTTCTCCCAGTGGATTATGGAAAAGGAAAAAAAAAATTAGTTCTTCATCACAGTTTGAAAAGCACTGTTGGTGTAACAGGAAATGATATATTGTTCTTGATTAAGCTTCCATGTCTCTTAATATAAGGTATACTATTTACCGGTCTCAAGGATAGCATGAGATTTGTCTGATTTTTACTATTTTGAGAGTCTCTGGTAATCACTTGGTTTTAAGATAACAATATATGTTGAATACTGAATCAGAAGAGGGGTCAGCTTTCAAGTTGGTTTCAACTTTCACTTTGTCATTATGTTTAAGTTAAATAATTTAAATATTTATTTAAAATAATATATTCATTTTCTCTGTCCTCGTTCTTCAGAAACAATCTCCCTTTTTGTTTTCTTGACTTAATCACCGCTGTTCTGTCTTAGGTCTGTGGAAAGACTTTTATCTATAAGCATGGTCTAAAATTACATCAGAGTCTTCATCAATCCCAAAAGCAGTTCCAGTGTGAACTATGTGTTAAGTCTTTTGTTACCAAACGGAGTCTTCAAGAACATATGAGTATTCACACAGGTAATGAGAAATTTATGTTGACATAGTTACATTTCATAAACTATTAATGATTATGCTTTAATTATACCAGAAATTGCATTCATAAACTGATAGTCATGTGTGCTCAATTTTGTATGAGACAGTATTTAAAATTAAAAGCATAGGCTGGGCACGGTGGCTCACGCCTGTAATCCCAGCAATTTGGGAGGCCAAGGCGGGCGGATCACGAGGTCAGGAGATCAAGACCATCCTGGCTAACACAGTGAAACCCCACCTCTACTAAAAATACAAAATATTAGCCGGGTGTGGTGGCGGGCTCCTGTAGTCCCAGCTACTCGGGAGGCTGAGGCAGGAAAATGGCGTGAACCCAGGAGGCGGAGCTTGCAGTGAGCTGAGATTGCGCCACGGCACTCCAGCCTGGGTGACAGAACGAGACTCTGTCTCAAAAAAAAATTAATTAATTAATTAATTTTAAAAAGCGTTTTCTTAGATCTGGTTTTACAGCTGTGTTTGTGTATAGAATATTCGTTGTTTCCCTCAGTGTAGAAAAATGTGTACTAAGTATTAAAATCATGCGTAATTTAAATGCAGGCATAAAGAAATGATCATGCTTTTAAAAAGTTAAATGGTAGGCAGACATAATCGTCAACATAGTAGTTGGCTTATATTTTTTGTCCATGCATACTTATTTTTAGATGTTTTAAAGCAAAAATGTGGGAATAGTCAATGAAGGGTAGATATCTGCTGCAACTTGTATTCAACTCTATTACTGTTACAATCCGTAGATCATACAACTGTATCACATTCTTTGGATCATACCTTCTGATAGTACTGTAGTTGTTGAGAGGAAATGGGGATTTTGACATGGTTTATTGTTATTCTTAGATGTCTGCCAAATCTTACAGCTTCCATGTCCCTTTGGTAAAGTTACTTCTGAAATAACATAAAGAATTCTGCTAAAGGCCAGGCGTGGTGGCTCATGCCTGTAATCCCAGCGCTTTGGGAGGCCAAGGCGGGCAGATCACGAGGTCATGACATTGAGACGATCCTGGCTAACACGGTGAAATCCGTCTCTACTAAAAATACAAAAAATTAGCTGGGCGTGGTGTCATGTGCCTGTAGTCTTAGCTACTCGGGAAGCTGAGGCAGGAGAATGGCGTGAACCCGGGAGGCGGAGTTTGTGATAAGCCGAGATCACGCCACTGCACTCCATCCAGCCTGAGCAACAGAGTGAGATGCCATCTCAAAAGAAAAAAAAAAGAATTCTGTTAAAAGAAGACTGATTGCTGGATATGTGACAGGGTTTTGATTTTTTCTAATAGGAGAGTCCAAGTACCTTTGCTCAGTTTGTGGAAAGTCTTTTCATAGGGGCTCTGGACTCAGCAAGCACTTCAAGAAACACCAACCAAAGCCTGAGGTTCGAGGCTATCATTGTACTCAGTAAGTATTCAATATGTGGGGCATTCAATTAATTTAATTACGTTTTTACTTAGTTTTCAAAAAAATATTTGAAGATAATATTAAACTGTAACTTCAGTTTACTCTTGATTTTAATGTCCTTTTTTTCTTGCCTGAGGGTTACTATTTTTAACGTCTTTGAGATGTAAATCATTTACCATACAAATCACTCATTTAAAGTGATTTAAGATTTTCAGATGTACTACCTGGAAGTGGGGGTGTGGGAAAGAAAAGTCTCACTGCCAGCCAGTTTCTTTTCCCGGGTCCTCTGCATTTTCCAGAGCCTCCCAAAATCTCGTTATGATTGAGGTAAAATTCATATAACATAAAATTAGTCGGGCCAGGCACAACAGCTCAAGCCTGTAATCCCAGCACTTTGGGAGGCCAAGGCGGGCAGATCATCTGAAGTCAGAAGTTTGAGACCAGCCTGGCCAATGTGGCAAAACTCCATCTCTACTAAGAATACAAAAATCAGCCTGTCGTGGTAGTTCACACCTGTAGTCCCAGCTACTTGGGAGGCTGAGGCAGGAGAATCACTTGAACCCAGGAGGTAGGAGGTTGCAGTGAGCCAAGATCGCACCACTGCACTCCATCCTGGGAGACAGAGTGAGACCCCGCCTCAAAAAAAGAAAAGAAAAAGAAAAAAAGTCATTTTAGGGTGGGCGCAGTGACTCATGCCTATAATTTCAACACTTTGGGAAACAGGTGGGGGGATTGCTTAAGGCCAGGAGTTCAAAACTAGTCTGGGCAGGCAGCATAGCAAGATCCTGTCTCTTAGGGGAAAAAAAAAGCCAGGAAGCTCTCTTTTGTTTTTTTTTTTTTAACTTTTAGGTTCAGGGGTACATCAGAAAGCTCTCTTAACAGAGATTCAACAGTTTTTTTTCTTTGTTAAACATATGTCTGGTCACTGTAAGCTTTTAGTTTTCAGAGTTCCTGGTAAGGTTGATTGTAACAGTTTGCCAGTTTATCCTCTGCTTTTGTGGAGAGATGGGCTTTTGGAGCTTCCTACTGGACATATCTGTTGATGTTACTCTAATTAGTCTTATTCTGCAACAAAGATAGTTTGTTATCAATACATTTTTAGTTATAAGTGAAAGTACACTCAACCCGACCAGGTTTGAATTAAATATAAAGTCTGGGAGTCTGGGTGGTTTAATGTAAACTGGATTCAAATTCATTAGCACTTGTTTTCTCTGAGGCACCCTATGGACAAGACAGTGGCAGTGGTTTCAGTCTCACATCCTCTCAGATTCCAAATTGTCAAACTTCTTTTCTGGTAGTTCATCAAAGCCCTGAGGATTACTCCAGTTACATCAAGTTAAGTCAGTCATCCCTGAGTTAATCACTATGGCCAAGGGAATGCTTTGTTGTGGTTAACTTAGGCCCAAGTCATTTGCTGTATCCCTAGGGTCAAAGGTAAAGCCTCCCCTCAACACATGGACTGAGAGTGAGAGGGTTGAATAGGGATCTCAAAGCGGGGTCACTTAGGGGAGAGAGAGATAATAGTAAATTTCCTCTGTAATAACCTTTGGGAAGTATGCACGATTCTTTCTAAAACATTTCTAGTAGCCTTAAGATGAAAAGAACCTAAAACCCTGTAGTTTTTATGCAAGATTGGAAAATTAGGGAATTCTTTTAAGTTGAGATCATCTTTTGGAGTTCTAAAAAACTAAAAATAGTTACTGCATTCTTGGAAACTTGTTTTAAAGGAATAAGATTATCCAATTGGGTAACTGAACTTTATTGCAGGTGTGAAAAAAGTTTCTTTGAAGCTAGAGATCTTCGCCAGCACATGAACAAACATCTTGGTGTGAAGCCATTCCAGTGCCAATTTTGTGATAAGTGCTATAGTTGGAAGAAAGATTGGTATTCCCATGTGAAGTCTCATTCTGTCACTGAGCCTTATAGGTGGGTAAATTTGAGAAGGAGCTGAACTTAATTGATACATGTGTGTACTCTGATTATTATGACTGCTGCTTCTTTGGACAAAATAATTTGGTCTTTTCCCCTATTTTAGGTGTAATATATGTGGCAAAGAATTTTATGAAAAAGCTTTGTTCAGAAGGCATGTAAAGAAAGCTACCCATGGGAAAAAAGGAAGAGCAAAGCAAAACCTGGAACGGGTGTGTGAAAAATGTGGAAGAAAATTCACTCAGCTAAGAGAGTATAGGAGACACATGAACAACCATGAAGGTAACTATACTTGGTATTATATGTATCCTTATAGAATAAAATCCAATCCAGTAGTGATTCTCCCTTTACCAGCTCTTTCACCTTCCTTGGTAAAAGATTAATTTCATATCTTTATTCAAATGACAGAGGTAATCCTGAACCTGAGTACCTAATTATTGTGTATATGTAAATAGGTTCCTTTTTTAGTGAGCTGAATTCTGTATCCACATTGTTATGCTGAACTAAACTATTTGAAACCTCTACTTTGAAGGAGTGAAGGAATAAATGAGATTATGCACAGAAACTAAAATTTGTCTCAATCACATCTGTCCATAGGAAGATCTTTAGAGAGATTTATAGTTCAGAATCTTGTTTATTCTTTTTTTTTTTTTTTTTGGAGACAGAGTCTGTCACTCAGGCTGGAGTGCAGTGACGCGATCCTGGCTCACTGCAACCTCTGCCTCCCAGATTGAAGCGATTGTCCTGCCTCAGCCTCTGGGACTACAGGCGCCCGCCACCACGCCAGGCTAATTTTTGTATTTTTAGTAGAGATGGGGTTTCACCATGTTGGTCAGGCTGGTCTTGAACTGTTGACCTCAGGTGATCCACCTGCCTCAGCCTCGCAAAGTGCTGGGATTACAGGCGTGAGCCACCGCGCCCGGCCCAGAATCTTGTTTATTCCAAGGAAAGCCATTGAGTCCTAAATAAAAGATTGCCACAGTCAAGATAGAAAGGCTTATGAGCTACTGTACTTTTTAATAAAAGGAAGTTTGGTAGGCAGTTTTAAGTATATTTTGGTGCTTGCACCTCACTACACGTGTTTTTTTTTCTTTTTTTAGGAGTTAAGCCATTTGAGTGCTTAACATGTGGAGTTGCTTGGGCTGATGCCCGATCTCTAAAACGCCACGTCAGAACACATACTGGTGAACGGCCCTATGTCTGTCCTGTATGTAGTGAAGCCTACATAGATGCTCGAACACTCCGTAAACATATGACAAAATTCCACAGAGACTATGTGCCTTGCAAAATTATGCTGGAAAAAGACACCCTTCAGTTTCATAACCAAGGAACTCAAGTGGCACATGCTGTTAGCATCTTAACAGCAGACATGCAGGAACAAGAAAGCAGTGGTCCTCAAGAACTTGAGACTGTGGTAGTGACAGGAGAAACTATGGAAGCTCTGGAAGCTGTTGCAGCTACTGAAGAGTATCCATCGGTATCTACACTTTCTGACCAAAGTATTATGCAAGTGGTTAATTATGTATTGGCACAACAGCAAGGACAGAAGCTATCTGAAGTTGCAGAAGCTATTCAAACTGTTAAAGTAGAGGTAGCACATATTTCAGAAGGAGAATGAGTATGTTAATGAAGATAAAAAGAAGTGACATCTCTTGTACACTGAACTCACAGAACATTTGTTTACAATTCTATGTGACTGTCTGCTTGGAGTTTACATATCAAAGCTCTGGGCTGTTTGGTAACATAACATTTCCAAACATTTTGTCTGGCCAATGGGTTCTATAGAAAAGTCCATTTAGTGTAAAGAAATTGAAAACAAATCTATTAGGTTGGTGCAGTTACTTTTGCAGCAACCTAATATTTGATGGCAGCGGTTTATCATGATATACCTTTCATGAATTAATGTTTATAAATGACTGTACTGAATTTAAAACTGTACAGTTTCATTTGCATTTTGACATTACTTTATTATACATTTTGCATTTAAAAGGCTGCACCAGTTGGCTTTTCTTCTGTTTTATTCTCAAAATATAGAGATTCTGTGATTTATTTGCCCTGTTTATGGATTAAAAAGAAAATTCTAATATAAAGCATTTCAGTAGGATGCATAGGTATATTACGTTTTTTAAATGCTTTAGATCTGTGATTCTTGACTTACTATTTATTTTATCCCCTTTTAAGTCAGGGATTCTTTATTCTGTTTTAAAGCACTTAATGAGTTACATGTTGTAATCAAGTTTGCACAATATATTTATCTATATGAGGAACCCATAAATGAATAGCTAATTTTAAAAATGCCATTAAAATGCATGAAATGCTTATTAAAACCCTACTATACTATTTCTTCAAGGCAAGCAAATTGACCATGAGAAAAGAACAGAGTTATTTAACACTGTTGATGGGAAAATTCTCCTTGATAACATACGACAATTAATGGAAAAAAAAATTCTCATTATTTGCAAAGAATGAACAAGTTAATGAACAAACAAGCTAGGTTTGGTATGTTTTCAGCTTTTGTATCATGTTTAATTGTTTAATTTGGTTGAAAAACTGCAGTTGAGAAATCGGATAGCAATATAGATATTCACAGCGGCTCTGTGGATACCATGTAATTGTCAGGTAATTTCAGAATATTGAAAATTATTCAGTGCAGCCCTCATAGTATAATACTTGAAGAAATTGATTACAGTTCCACCAAATTGTTGAAGATAAATTATTTTTAAAGGTTACGAAAACTGAGTTATATTAATTCATATGTTTGATTTTTAAATCCCACCTCCTCAAGCTATCCTATTTTCTGATTTTGAAAATAACCATGAGAGATGCCACATTTCTCTCTGGGAAACTACCACTCAAGGTATAATTGTTAAAAATTAAGCTTTTAGGTATTAGAAGCTATTATAAAGTATAAAATTAAGACATAAGCAGATCACATGTAAATCATTCCTAAAGCACAAGAAAAGAATGTGCCTTGATGTACATATATTATTAAGATGCCTCTCCCAGTTTACTTTAAAAATGGCTTTAAGGATAAAGAATAAATGTGATAGCTATGCATGCATTATATATTTGCATTTGCAAATTTCCCATTGTTTTACCAGCTGTGTGGCTGACTTTCAATTTTAAGAAGTGAATTGACATACAGCCCTTAACTTTATAATGGCTGCTCATTTATCTTATCTTTCAGTTAGTGAAAAAGCATTTCAACCTGACTAAAATTTGGAATTGTGTCTTTTATGTTCCATCCTCTGTTGTTACTAGATTTAGTTTAAAAATTGTATATGACCATTAATGTATGTCATAAACATGTAAATAAAAGATGTTGAATCTTGTTTAAAAGCATGGACTTTGGAGTTGAGCTTGTTACTATTTTCAGTTCATAAATCAGTTGTTACTTGATGTGTTAATTTTTTTTTAAAAGAGAAAGGAAATCAAACACTAAAAAATAACATTTGGAGGAACACTTAATATTAAAACTTCTTACTCTTAAATATAATTGATAGGGACAAGAGGCAAGGAAATAATGGGTAGAAGAGGGCAGTTCCCCAGCAAAAGCCTGGAAACCCATGGCCCTAAATGGGAACAGGCATTCCTGTTTCGATGTCCAAATGTTGCCTTTTGGTCCACCATGCCCCCCTATCCTGTACCTATATAAACCCTAAACCCCAGGCTCCATGAGCAGAAGAGTGGTATGGCAGAGAAGGAGAGAAGAGAGGAGCATCTAAATGCCCAGAGGAGTTCAGCTGGGGACGGCGGGAAAGGAGATCAGCCATGGGACAGCTAAACTCCAGGAGAAGATCATCTTCCCACTCCATCCCCTTTCCAGCTCCCCATCCATCCCGCTGAGAGTCATCTTTATCCCGCAATAAAATCCCCCGCATCTACCATCCTTCAGTTTGTCCATGTGACCTGATTCTTCCTGGATGCTGGACAAGAACCCAGGTACTAAGAGGGCACTGAGCTAGTTAACACTTAACGCCATCTGTAGACAGCAGAGCTAAAGGAGCACTGTAACATGCCCACTGGGGCTTTGGCAGTTGCAACCACCCCCACCAGACACTACTGTGGGGCCAGAGCCCAAAAGTGCTCAATCTGGCTCCCGCACTTGCCTGTCTGTGTGCTTCCCCTCCTGTAAGGGGTTTGGCTGAACAGATGAGCCACACCCCTGTCGCATGTCCTGCGAGGATATCAGGGAACTCTTCTGTTTTACAATCTTGTCACAGGATTATATATTGTGCCATCAACCATCAACTTGAAATAATTTAAGTTTGTAAATTATATAAATTCCATGTAGAAACAAATGTTAAGAAGGTTCCAAAACTTCAATGCAGTTTTAATGTTACCAAGAGGGCATTGTTAATTTATAACAATTCCTTTTTAGAAACATAAAGCATATTGCTGTCATGAGATGACCCAAAAACTATGGGTGTCTCCTGATCAAATATGGAGGCCTTAAGCACTTTTGGCTACTTGTTACTGCTACTAAGCAATTTGAATCACTGCTATTACTCCCTGAAATGCATGTATTGTCAATAGAAATGAAGTAATGCTCTAATAGGTTTTAATATGTTCATTTTACTAAAAGCCAATAGGGGTTTGCATAATTGCACAAGTTACTTAAACTGTTGGATTTAGAGCTAATGCAAACCTTCAGGCTTTTTTTCTCCCCCCTGTTGTTGTTTTCATAGCATTGGTATAAACTAGTGTGGGCATGTTTTTTTTGTTTGTTGTTTGAAACAGGGTCTCTGTTGCCCAGGCCAGAGTGCAGTGGTGCAAACACGGCTCTCTACAGCCTTGACCTCCTGGGCTCAAGCAATGCTGCCTCAGCCTCCCAGGTAGTGGGGACCACAGGTGTGCACCACCATGCCCAGCTAGATAATTTATTTTTTGTAGAGATGGAGTGTCGCCATGTTGCCCAGGCTGGTCTCAAACTCCTAGGCTCAACTGAGCCTCCCACCTAAGCCTTCCAGAGTGCTGGGATTACAGGTGTGAGCCACTGCACTGGGCCAATGATGCTTTCTGGGCTGATGATGCTTTCTGTTCCTGATTCTTTCTTTCAAATCTAATCTTTTTGGAGGTTCCTAACAGGGGTTTTACATTCAATGCTTGGCACATATGCAGTAAAAGTTAGCCTTTGCTTCACCAATCCTATAAATTTATCAGAACTAGTTGTTGAAATGTGTGGAGCAAAGATACATAATTTCTTTAATCACTTAAATACACCATACTTATTTTGTAGTCTATTATTTGAAGATTTGATTTGGGGTTTTTTTTGTTTTTTTGTTGTTGTTTGTTTTTGGCTAGTCAAGTGAAGCAGTGGAAATGGAGAAGGAACAAAGAAATCTGTAACTGGTTGTGACCAATTAGTTATAAATACCACTGCAATTTTACCAGCCATCTGAAGTTTTGAAGTTTAATACTACTGTTACTAGATTTTTTGTGGGTGGGGGTTGGACAGGGTCTCACTCCCATCGCCCAGGCTGGAGTGCAGTGGCACTATCATTGTTCACTGCAGTCTCGACTTCTGGGCTCAGGTGATCCTCCCACCTCAGCCCCCAGTAGCTGGGACTACAGGTGTATGCCACCACATCCAGCTCATTTTTTGTATTTCTAGTAGAGATGGGGTTTCCCCATGTTATGGAGGCTGGTCTGGAACTCCTTGCTCAAGTGATCCACCCACCTCAGCCTCCCAAAGTGTTGGGATTACAGGTGTGAGCCACTGTGCCCAGCCCTTCAAGTACTTTTATCTTTTGGAGTATGAGTTCAACTCCTATAGGGCCTGCTATGGTTGAAACGTTTATATCTTACAGAATTCATGTTGAAACTTAATCCCTAATGCAGCAGTATTGAGGTGTGGCTTTGGGGGGTGATTGAGTCATGAGGGCAAGGCCCTCATGAATATATTAGTGCCTTGTAAAAGGGCTGGAAGCTACTAGCTTTTGCCTTACGGCCTTGTGCCATGTGAGAACACAGCAACAAGGCTCCATTTTGGAAGCAGAGAGCAGCTGTCGCCAAACACGGAGCCTAGCGGAGCCTTGATCTTGAACTTCCCAGCCTCCAGAACTGTGACAAAATAAATGTATGTTATTTACAAATTATGCATTTATGGCATTTTGCTATAGCAGCCCAAATGGACTAATGACCTTATTTTAGGGAATCTTACGCCACCTACCTAGGTTGAAGATAGTCCTTCCAGATCAGTTTGTTTTCTTCTGCTAGGTTCCTGCAGGAGTATCAGTGGCTAGGTACTATATTTCCATCAACTTCTTAGCCTATTGTTTCCCAGGTGAATAATTGTAAATTTGAACTCTAAACCAGTATTAGAACAAGCCTATTTTGTAGCACATCTTCAGGGTGCCATGGCTCATGCCTGTAATCCCAGCACTTTGGGAGGCTGAGGTGGGCGGACCCCCTGAAGTCAGGAGTTCGAGACCAGCCTGGCTAACATGAAGCCCTGTCTCTACTAAAAATACAAAATTAGCCGGGCGTGGTGGTGCATGCCTATAATCCCAGGTACTCGGGAGGCTGAGGCAGGAACATGGCTTAAACCTGGGAGGGAGGCAGAGGTTGCAGTGAGACGAGATAATGCCATTGCACTCCAGCCTGGGCAACAAGGGCGAAACTCCGTCTGAAAAAAAAACCTCTTCAGGGGACGCTTTTGGCCCACCTGAAGCTCGGCATGAGACAATATCCTTTTCTCTCTGGGGTGGCGCATGGATTTTTTTCTGATTTGTGTTTCCACTGAAAGTAAAGCTCTTCATTGGGCCCAGCTTTGTGTAGAGCTGTCAGTTTCTATTCTTGTGTACCCAAATCCTGATCTCTTGTCACCGTTTGGCTGTCCAAAGCCAATCCCTTTGAGACTGGCAATCTCATCTACTAGAGGCTACTGCAGTTTCAACTCAGTTTCATATTTGGAGCCCTAGGACATTCCCTTTCTTTTTTTTTTTTTTTTT